GTGAAAATAAACATAAATAAATAAATAAATAAATAAATAAATAAATAAATAAATATCAACAGAAAAAAAAGTCATTCTTAGAGCTTGATTTCACCCTACCTCGAAACATTTCAGATCTTGTAGGAATGAAAGTTTCTCGGTGGTTCTTTTCAAGAACTGGATTTATTGTAGGTTTTCTGAGTTAAACAGACCAGCTGAGTTATATCCAGTCACCTCCACTAATGTTCAGAGGAAATGTTAGCACGTTGCATCAACTAGTTAAATTTCACAGTAAATTCAAACATCCAGCTTTAAATTTTAAAAGCCATTCAAGTTGTGCTCTGTATAATCATTGTACACAGGAAAATAAACCAGTAAAAGAACATCAATGTGACATTCATGTTCATGGTGAGAGGATGGAAACTTCTGATCACATTTATTTATTTAAAAGTTTGTCCATCTATTTATTATGTTCTGAACTCTGTTCCATCAGCTGCGACCTCTGATGCTCCTATCTCAAATCTGTGACGTGTTCCTGCCTTTAAAGTCAAAGTGACTGGTTTTCTCTTAAATCAATTTTAAAACTCAGTTTCTTAGTTAAAACGTTTGATATGTTCAGTAGGTTAAAATCATTACAGTTTTAGGGTTGAATTATAATTGCACCTAAAAGTACTTTTTAATAATGTAGCATCTGAATCTGTGAAATACATGTTAGCTGGGGGTAAGGTTTTTAATTTAAATAAATAATAAAATAAAAGACATTAGAAAATCAGTGTCTGAGCTGCTGTTAGTTAAATATCCATCTCTGCGGTAAATAAAGGCTTATTATTCCACTAGCACCATTACTTTCAAACGTCATTCAAATGATAAACATAAAACTGTATTTTCTTGGTTAAAAATGTTAATTGTTATTGTGACATTAAAACTTGGCTTTTTGAAGTTTGCCCGTTTGTTTCAGGTACGTCAGGTTAACTCTCCAGCCCAACGCAGAAGGAAGGATTCCTGTCAAAAAGTGAGTTCCTGCTAATAATTACTCTCTTTCTTTTTACCCACTTTGCTATCTGAGGCACATGATACAGCAGTTGCTTGCAAAAGAGAAGAAATAGCCACGAAATCTGCAGAGACGCTCACAAACTTAAACTTTGCTCTTTCCCGTCCCTGGCTTCCAAAAATAAAGTTAATTCCACGTGCACTTGGGAAGGAAAAACAGGGACATGATTCATGAAAGTGCCTAATTCAGCTCTGACCTGGTAATCAAGCAGAGCAGGAGGTGGATTATACATTCATGAAGGAAAGCTGTATATTAAAAGCAAACTGAGAGCAGAATTAAGGTCAGTTGATGTTTGAGTGAGCACAGAGGAAGTTTGAAGAAGAAGCTTGAAGAAATGTTCTGTGTGGAATCATGTCAGAGCACTGAGCAGGAGGGTTTATTAAAGCAGAACAGCTTTTAGTTTATTTCAAACAATCAGTGGTGAATTTAGCTTGTTACACCAAACCCAGCCTCCCCTTAAAATAAAGAAACTATCATTACTATTTTGTAAGTACAAACCTTAAGACCCTGTCACAATAGACAACTTATGCCAATTTATGGACATTTTAAAGATATCTACATTGAAAATGGAATTGAAAAATCATCAGAAAGCTTCTTTTTGGCGTGCACATAATGTAATTCAAAGAAATTGATCAAATTTTAAGCCACTAATATGATGGATGATGATCATATTGCTTTAGCTGCGCTAGTCCTTTGTTAACGACTGATTATTCATTTTGGTTAATAGTTTTTCCCTTAAAATTTAGAAGACACAACGTTTCTTAGACTGTCGCTTTACTGTGGCTTTACTTTACTACTTAACTTTATGTCCACTTAACTCTGTTTCTTTACCTGTAAATAGAAAGGTGATGTGTACTGTAACTATGACAGGCCCACCTCATGAATAATGAACTGAAACAGCAAAACCCTGACCCATAATGTCTACTTTTCCCTAGCTGGACGTGTGTTCTTTTTGAAAGAGAAAAGACCCACTGCCACATTCAGGTAGAAAATAAAGATACTGCAATTACTAAGTATGATTTTCAGATAAAGTTCAGGTTAAAGACAAGTTTTTGATGTTCTACCTTGATAATAAACTGATTTTTGGTTGTTTTATTAATCCTATGAATTAAGTAAAATGTTCTTCAAATGACTGGGAAATGCAGAGTTTTGAGTAAATTTTTTAAAGTATTTTTGAGGGGGCATGCCCCCCCTAGAATTGCTTCACTCCACAACTGTTTGTTAACATTAACATGTGTCTCATTGATGTTAGCAGATGTTGGTAGGTTTGATGTAGGAAATTCAATATATAGTTGTTGACTTTTTTAGTTGGACAAAACTATTTATTTTTGTATGTAAATAATAAGCAACAAGATTTAGAAAATTTTACCAACAAAAATCTTGTCCAAAGGCTGGCCCTGCTGGTCAGATCCTAGAATGCCCCCTGTAAACAATACATATATATGTATACATATATATGTATACATATATATGT